AAGAATTTCTCAACAAATACAAATGTTATGACTGAATGTTATATTGTTTTTAAGTAATGCCATTTGCCTGGAACTGGAGGAAAGGAGAAAAATAATAAAGGTTGATCTATCTATGGTTTTTATTAATCAATCTTGTATACAGACAGAAAATAACACTGCCATTGAATTTCTTTCAGTTCATCCATACACGTAAGGTCTAAAAGACATAAACCTCATCAACATTTTAGAAGGGACTGTCTACACTTTTATGCATCATTTTTGCTTTTTAAGTGTATCTCTAGCCAAGACTTTTATTTTTTTTTCTATTTTTGGATAGAGTTAGGAAGGATTAGGATCCGTCTCTTGTTTTTAATGCTCCATATTCGGTAGATTAATCTCACAATTTGCCTTGGTGACCATTGTCACAAAAGACAGAAAATTAGGGAAAATCCCACATTTTAAAGCTGCCATAACAGGAATAGAGGGACATTTTTGCAATAGGGCACTTCTCCTGAGACACCTGTCTAAGAGAGGATTCCATTAACTTTAGAAAAATTGCCTCTCACTTCTTGTTGTTTCTGAAGGACCAGAAGTGAAGGGAGGTCTTTCCAGTGGGGAAAGAAAAAAAAACAAAACATTTCCTACTCTGTTCTAAACCTAAAAAGGTTTGGCCTTAGATAAACGTTAACCCTACAGGCGATGTGAGGTGAATGATTTCACAGAACTCTTCCCGCAAATTTTACAGTGGGAGAGAAAAACAAAATAAGTTGTCAGCACAAGAAAATCTCATGGGTTAGATTTCCTCCCTCCCAGGCTCACAATCCTTTTTTTAAAATATTGTTTTAATAAAAACACTCTAGGTTATTCACAAAGCTGATGAAGGCAGGCTAGTGAATAACCCACCCGAAGTGAAGTGAGCCGAACGCTGTTCAGCTATTCACTTCAGGCTTGTGCAGCTGATTTCAGCCGTACATCGGCTGAAATCAGCCATACGTCGGGTAGCTTCGGCAGCACTTCGGTCAGCCGAACATGTTCTGCATGTTCGGATGCGCCGAAGTGCAGAAGGACTTTGACTCAGCCGATCCAACATCTGGATTGGCTGAGCCGAACCTCCGGCAGGCTACTCTCTGCCGTTTGCCCCTATTGTCATAAGGGCCGAATGGCAGTGAGTGAATAGCTGAATGCCGCCGAGAGTGAAGAAAGTAGAAAAAACAATAGAAAAGAAAATGTTTAAAAATGTAAATAAATTATACATTTTAAAAAATAAATAAAGATTTGTAAAAAAAAACAACAATTGGGCAGAGCTAGCAGTGACAGCTGTTTCCTTTTGGCCCGGACCTGCTACAGTCTTCTCCCCCCAGTTGTCATTGTTTAATGACAGTTCGGCATCCCCAGGTAGCCTGGGGACGCTGATCTGTCATTGCAACTGGGCGGAGCCAGCCATGAGATCACAGCTGGCTCCGCCCAGCTGTCAGTTGCAAGGCTTTTGCCAGCCGAAGACCTGTCGTTCGCCCCGCTTCGGCTCAGTCGAGCTGAAGCATGTGTCTTTGGCTCGGTTGAGCTGCTCGGCCGCCTTCGGGAGCTGTACGGGCTATAGTGAATAGCCCGTACAGCAGCCCTTCGGTTCGTCTGAGCTTTAATTACTAACGTATATAAGTTAGGTCCATTAAATGACATATCTGCACTCAGTCATTCCCAGAATCAGTGTAATTAATTTGTGTCAGAGAGGGATAAGTTAACAACATTGATGTATAAGTAAAATGGGTTTGATTCATCAATGGTGTTGAAACCCCTGACAAAGTCCTGGCACCATAATGTTTAATGTGGAGCCTATTGCTGCAATTCCAAGGAGTGTATAGATACACAGATTTGGTGGCTGCAGATGGAGTGAATGCTGCGTTTGTGGACAATATAATTTGCTGTACCCTCTATATCTCAAATACTTGGAACAGGGTTGTTTGTATTAGCTGAACATTGTGGGATGAATATGTGAGTAGTTTTATATATCTTTATACAAATTTATTAATAAACTATTTTAAACTGGATTACACTATATGCCATTTTTTTCTCTCACACTGTAATATTATCGCATCCATGGAGAGCCAAGAGACATTACATTCTTAAAGTGACATTAAAATCACATCCCCAATGCTGCTTTAAGGACTTACCTTAAATGATGCCTCTTGATCCAATCATCTTCTTCTTTCCAGCAGTTATCAGGAGTCCCTCCAGCGCTGGTGCCGGTCTCTGATCCAGCGCCGACTGCTGTTTCTTCTGTGTCCCACGAAGTCTGTCTGACGTGCACGCTGTCGACTATGTGCATTCAGATCATCTGTGTCTCTCCTCTTCTACCAGCCAAAGATCTCTACTGCATATGCGCCCGCCCCATCATGCTGTTCAGCCGCTCGAGAATCTTAAAATCTTCGGACGGGGGTAAGCGGCGGAGACAGTGGTAAGTAAAATCCTTTTTGGTAACTTTTTAATTTTTTTTTGCATATATCCACTGCAAGCAAGCAGTAGATATATGCCCCCAAAAATAAAGTTTAATTAAACTTTAACAGAGATGGGTTTCTACCCCGGCAGTGAAGAGGGACGCTAGAGTGCTAGAGACCATCCTAAAATATTTTAGCAAAAATACAAGGTGAGCAGGATTGGGTGTACATGTGGTCACGGATTCTACACTGAATTATGTTTTAACACCAGTGGTAATATTTCCTTTTTCACATTATTGGGTTTCACATACTAAGTAGATCCCTACATAAAGACTGTAAGAATGTACGGGACACAGTAATTTATGTGGCAGTGTCAATTGTTACAATGTAAGTCTTACACTATACATTGTTATTAAGTTGGCTGGGACACTGGTTTTGGGTGTACGTTGTATTTACTATGTAAAAATATTTTGCATACTAGTTTGCTAGTGCTACACTGTTATTTTCTTTTTTCACTCCTATAGTGCGTTATTCACATTTTGTGTTGGCTGCTGATTTTGTTTAGAGAAGCATAGCACAGAATATTTATTAGTATTACTGAACAGTATATGCCTTATTTAATCTATGGGGGATAAGGGGGTACGATGAAGGTGAGTGATATAATCTGAGGTGGTTTGAGTGCATGATGTTCTTGCACTTTTTTTCTTTCAAATTATGCAGGAATGAGCTGTGAACTAAAGGCATTTCCAAAAACAGAAGGTCAGTAACAAGTCGTATCTTAGCAGAGTATGTCAATTAATATTTGCTTAAAGCGAGGAACCCAGTTTTGAAAAAGAAAAATTATTTTTTTACTGTTAAATAAGAAACATTTGAGGGGAGAAAATTATCTCTGTTATGTTAGTCCTTTGAGAAAACAAAATGTAAGTGTATGATTTCATCATATGAAATAACAGCTGACCCTGTCTCATGACAAGTAATGTAACTCTGCAGTGAGATATTAAAGAATAAACCACAAAGGGAAGGAAGCAAGGGTTTAAGGTCATATTTCAAGCTGAGGTTTAAATCTGACCTTTAGATCACCCTGAATGCCCTGCAGAGCTCGGCTATGGAAAGATTTGACCTGTTGGCAGAATTACATTTTTGACAACAGGAAGTTAAAAGATGTGTACGAATATCATGTTTTATGAATGTGCTTTCTTAATTCCTTAAAGTGCACATGTATAAAATTCTGTACTTGCCACTTTTTCATTTTTCCATAGTATTTGGTTATATTTATTTCTCTTTTTTAACAATATTTCAGTTTGATGTGTAGCAAAATAAACAAGGCAACCTAAGAGTAGATTGGGGGTGGTCTTGGAAGATCACTGACTTCTTTATAAGGTGGGTTGCAATTCTTCATAAATAGAGATCCTGTGAAATATTAACTGCTGCCAGGAAGTTCCAATTGCAAAATTATGGGAAAATAAAAACATGTTTTTATCACTGCTTTCTTTTCTAGCAAGAATGTTTCATCAGTGTTGTTAATATCTATATTTATTAACATACTTACTCCCAACGCCAGGTTACATAGCCAGTAACATGAGCAAACACAATAACCATGCAACTAGCATTTTGAGAAAGCAACCACCATATTTCTCTCAAGGTGAATTAACAAATGAATCATTGAACAGATTACTGGAGCAAAGAACTGTGAATCAATAAAGTATCATGGGATTCTAAAAAAAAACCAAAATATCATTTTTAAAACTGTAAATGCGTGATCTCTCAGTTTAGAGGAAATACATTTCTGTATATATTTATATTTTCCTCTGAACATTTCCTCTCACTATTCATCTATCACTGATAGTGATATGTACCAGGGTGATGGAACTATCTAACATCCTTTGACATCTTTATGTGCAAACAATGTTTAGCAACTGCAAAGCACATCCCCAAAGACCTTAATATCTGTGGAATATGTTCATAAATCTATATTTTAGAAAATGTGTTCACCCATTATATGTGTGAAGGTTCTCATTTATCTAGGTCATAGTATAGCTTTTAGCAGTTAGTCATATTCAACTGGACTTGTTCTGTAATATTGAAGAAATATCCAAGCCACTTCTTTAGTCCTGTTGAGTGTTAGGAACATACCCTAGCATTTATATCCACATGTGATTGTCACATGGGTGTGTTTTAATCACAATTGAATGTGTTAAGGCAGATTTTGAGTTTCCAAGAACATTCAGCCATGTAAATCAAATGATTAACACCTTGCAGACTTCTTAACACACCAACAGATAGAATTATGTAATTAGAACAGGCTAATTTCACAACTTTCAAACCTCCCATTCTGTCCTAAACAATTCAAATCTGTCTTGACACATTCCATGCTAACCAGATTAAGGTGGCTGTGTTACCTGTGTAGATATAAATGCTGCGGTATGTTCCTGACATTCATTAAAACTGAAGAAGCGGCTTGGATAAGCTGCAAAACATATTTATCATTATAGAACAAGTCAAGTTGAATGTGACTAAGTACTACTAGCTCTTCTTCTGCTAATTCTTTACAACCACTTACATGATATCACACTGTGTTGTAATCAGTACCTTTATCTTTGCTGCTTCAAGTGCCTTTTTTCCATCCCAGGCCCAACTTCTCTTGGTAAAGTAGTTCACAGTTGCAAATTCAATGAGTGCAGAAAAGACAAAGGCATAACATACAGCTATAAACCAGTCCATTGCTGTAGCATAGGCAACTTTTGGCAGTGAGTTCCTTGCACTGATGCTCAGAGTTGTCATAGTTAGCACTGTTGTGACACCTGTGGATAAAATAAACACACCGAACTAATAAAACATGCATATTTTATACATTCATTGTATAAAAGCAAAAGCTTTATTTTTCTGTAGAATGTTTACAAATAAGGGTTACCATTTGTCCTATATTAGCAAAGATGTCCTTATGAATTCTATACTAGTTTTTTGGTATTAATATAATATACTAATATATAATATTACTTCCATTAATCTATGCCAAAGCTGTGGACATTTAAGAATTTACATATTAACAAAAAATAAATAAGCTTTGCTGACTTTTGTAGCTGCAGGCACTGTAAACAATTCATCCTCAAAGTCCATAACAAAGGCACTCTGGTCCGGTTGTAGTTGAATTTTCATAGCTTTAGCTCCCCCTGCTCCCTCTTCCAGTAGTGACTTGGCAGCGCCCCAAGATTCTAACATAAATGAAAGCAGGTAGAAGGATGGAAGGCTTCCAAATGACTACTAGGAAAGAGAGCAGAGTGAGATGAAGCTGCTTAGAATGCGACTACAACCCAACCAGAGTACTCATTAAGGGCTTGTTTAAATTGTAATTTTCTCCTTGTTAAAATATGTAAATACTTGAAGCAGTAGCGAGGTCCAAAATGCTCCCTACTGAGTCAGACCTATAGCTCTCAATTAATAGGATTTCAACTGGGCTCTCACCTGGGGATGCCACCAGCAAATGTGCTCTCCCAAGTGTTAATCACATTCAAAAAAAAAAAAAGTTGCTCTCTGCTCTGGCTCTGACTTAGCAGGGGGTGTGTTGGACCTCTGCAGAGACACCACTGCTTACACACAGAGAGCAAAGGATTCGCTCTGCAGCATGCTGGCAGGAAACTCAGGGTTTGGCTGCTTTTTAAAGAAAACAAACGTTGTACATATTTTGGTTAGATACACCTACAATGCATTTAGCTAATTTAAAAGAGAGTTTAATTGGGCTTTAATCCTTTCGCTGCCACCGACATAAGGCTTACGGCGGAACACAACTGCTTACAGCTGGCCACGTCAGTAAGCCTTATGTCGGTGGCTTTTACTGTTCTGCTATAAGCTCATGGTTGCTAAAGCGACCATGAACTTATACCAGAACAGTTCCTCTGACGGTCCCCTGTAAAAAAATAGCTATCATCAGCAATTGACAAGCCGCTGATGACAGCTTTTAATTAAAAATCTGTGTGCCCCCCCCTCCAACAGCATCTGCAGCCTCTGCTTCCTGCCTGGAGCCACTCCAAGCTGGGATCTATTTCTTCTTGGATCCCTGCTGCTCTCCCCCACTTATATGCGCTGAGGCAATGGGGATCTGAGGAGAAATGACCGGTGGAGAGGCCTAGCAGGGAGCAGCTCGAGCGACGAGAAGAACAGAGCTGCCGGCTGTCACTTTCACTTTGGCTGGCAGCTCTGTCATCTGTGGGTGGCCGAATGCTCAGGATGGTAGAGTGGGATGATCGGTTATTATCAGTGATAATTACTGACCGTCTGTGTGCAGAGCAAACACTGGAGTGATCAGCTGATCACTCCAATGTTTGTAAACAACTGGGGACACATTGTACTATGGGTCGCCAGTTATGGACGGACAGAAAGTGCTTTACATCACTTCCTGTTCATTCTTGAGTTTCTGAATGGGTAGTAGCTCACTGCAGAGACATCTACCCATTTATAACTGGATGATAGTAAATATTTTTCTATCACCAGTTTCTGAATGAATGGGAAGCCTCTGCACTTAGTGCTTTCCATTCATTTAGTGGCTGCAGAAAAAGAGATTAAAGTGACATTAAACCCTCAGATTTCTTAACATAAACCAATACTGTAATGTGTGCCTTACTGTAATCCATGGTAGTTTTCCTTCTCTTTGCTGCTCTTCCTTTTATATCCTCATGTCTTCTCATGCTGGGGGAGAATTTCCCTTTTCAGCTCAGGGCCTCTTCCTGTAAAATACAAAAAATTACAAATAAATAAATAATAATTTAAAAAACCACAAACCCCCCTCCCCGTAACATATACGTGCACCATATTGTGGTGTACTCCATGCACGTGCGCTGCGGTTACAATGCATCACAGTGCTTGATTTTTTTCTTTTTTAAATAACAATAATTTAACTGTGTGGCATTGCATGGCCAAGCGTTGTGACGCATTGCCGTGCATTGTGATACACTGTGTAGGCCTGTATCATTTTATCACAACACACACACCAACACAGTGCACAAACAATTTTTAACATACATCGCTTAATTACAGCTTTGCGTTACTTCATTTTTTTACTGTTTCACAAAAAGGCATAATTTTAAATTTACAAATATGTGTTATTTATTAACTCAATACAGTTTTATCTTTTAGATTTAGTCAAAATAGTATTTTTTTTGTGCACTGATACTGATTTTACTGTGCTTTTATTCATTTAATTGTGTATTTTTATCGGTTTAATATTGATTTGACAAACACTTGCGCAATTATTGCAGGACCTACAAAAATGTTTTTCCCACCGGGCCTGTGATTTCAGAAAATATATAGTTTGGAGGGTCTTTTACAGAAGCTAGCAACACAGCAGTAGAAAATCATAACGATGGAAAAAATTGCAAAAATGGTGTGGCCAGCTGAGGTTTTAAAGCATTCCGGAGGGCTTGGCAGGAAAAGGGTTTAGCCCATTTCCACATTTGCAGAGGTATTTTTTAAAAGAAATTTGGCAGCAATGTACACAGAATGTACATAAAGCAGGCATATGCTCGTGATGTATATGAACACAGAAACTTACATTGTTTGGTGTTAGACTGAATTTCCTATGGAGAAAATTTTTAATTTTTAGGCTTCAGGCCTAATAAAAAGTTAATAAAAAATAAAGAAAGGCTGCAATGTGAGTAATGAAAATGTGCACATGTATACATCATCATTGCACCTCTTCATTACCACAATAAATGCTGATCACTTACAAAGGTGGAAATGGACTTTAAATAAGAATATTTTTATCTTGTGGATTATCACACTGTTCCAATGTAGAAAACATGATTTACCAATATAGGGATAATATATTTTTGAAATACACTTTAAAATATTTCAAATATGAAAGCCTCCGCCATTATAGTAGCACAGTTCTCACTTAGGGGTCTATTTACGAAGCTGCCAAGGGATCTGGCAGTAGCGCTGGCCGATCCTTCGGCTAGCTTCGGCCCCAGGACCCCTTCGGTTCAGTAGAACCGAGGGGGTGCTGTACGGGCTATTCACAATAGCCCAATAGTGAATAGACCCCTTAGTCTAGTGATTATGCGTTTACTTCAAACAATGAATAGATGTTTGAGGCAAATACAGATCCCCAAAAGCAAGTGAAAGTTTGCCCATTAAATACCACCTAAAGTGAGTACTTTGTCATATATACACCAAGAAAATATCAGCAAACGTGCCAATTCTCTGAAATATCCTTTATTGAAACTTTACAGGTGGTACTTATGTACAAGCATCACTTACCCTATTCAGTCTATAGTTGCCTTAGTCATAGCTACCTGCTTGTAAGGCAAGACTGTCTAAAAAACACAGCCCCCACCCATATGGTAGGAGTTGACAATTAGCAAAAATATCATTTTAAAAAACATTACGGAATGACATACAGAGCATTAAGGGGAAAAAAGAGCGCACATGTTGGACACAGAAAAGAAAGTAACAGTTGTTATAAACTCATTCAAAATACAACTACATACAAAACATAGGGAAATAGACTACTATTTAAAAAAAGCCTAAGTTAACATCTAAGTATAGAATGACAACAAAAAATTGCAACAATGAAGAACTTTACAAACCAAATTTAATAGACACATTTCAATGGTAACATTGGATAACAATTTGTAAGCATGAACTTGCAGCAATGTTCAAGTATTGTTTCCATAATTCTATATAGTGTATATATAGCCTCCTATTGTCTCTGTGATATAGTGTTACAATTACACTGGGCCACTGAGAACTTACAAGTATGAACTGGCCACAGAAATGTGCCTCATTTTTCATCTGTCTTAAGATCTGTTCTGTGTTGCCCCAGAACCACTAATTAGATTCTGTCTTTCACTGGAAAAGGATACTGAGAGAAAAGATGTTTGGATGTAATTGGCAGTTGTGTGGCAACACAGAACAGTTATTACATAAGACAAATGATAAATGAAGTAGGCGTATAACAGTTTTATCATATAAGCTTGCAATGGGCTGACTACCAAGCACTGACTTGTGAAGTCCTTTGTAGATGCAATCAGAAAAAATAAAACAAAATGGCAAAGCTGCCTTCATTTTGAAAACACAGAGCTGTAAAATCAAATTCATGCACTTAATTGAAACCAATCCCATTATTTCAAGTGTGGCCATGGCAAAATGGAAAATGTGCTTTAGTAAAAACTGATATAAAATGTGTAATTGCTATGAAAGCCATTTAGTAAGTCGATGCTATTAAAAATCTTTTTATTTGAATCAGATTATATCCAAAAAAAATCATATCACCTTTCTTTGCAAACTTTGCTTAGCATTATTGATGTCTGTGAAGTCTGCCCCCATGCAACTGTAATTGCCCAAGTAGGGCTTCTTTACTACATAAAATGAACAAGACCAAGGATACATTGTTAGGGTATGCTTACATTATGGGCCCACATATGTTTGTAGATCATGATATTTAAGCCCATGTAGCTTTGTACACAGATGTTCAATGTGTACGGTGCCGTCCTAGTTTGCCCTGTGCACTGAATATCCAAATAATGTTGCTTTTGTGTCTTCAGTTCTAATATGGTACACCGAGGAATGTGAACATAGAATTAAAAGAAAAAAACCTAATGTGCTCACTAAACAATGAAATGGGAATACACAAAGCTTAATGACAGGTTAAAAAAAATGTACAATAAGCTGGTGTAGGAAAAAAGTGTATGGATGTGTATTTATCATTGGAATCTCTATTCCAAGCACCGGTTTATGGATCCTATATGATAGCTAGTGCTTTAGCTTCTGAGGATGCTCAGTACAATACGGGTTACTGAGACTTTGT